GGCTAATTTTTCGTTTCTATTTTTAGTTGCCTGGCTAATTTTTTCTATTTTTAGTAGAGATGGGTGTCTCGCTCTTGCTCAGGCTGGTCTCAAGCTCCTGAGCTCAAGTGATCCTCCTGCCTTCGCCTCCCAGAATGCTAGGATTACAGGCGTACCAGGCTGGTCTTAAACTCCTGGCCTCAAGTGATCTCCCATCTCAGCCTCCCAGCTAGCTGGGGCTATCGGTGTGCGCCACTGAACCCAGCTAATGCTTATTTATTGAACAGACCAGAGTATTTTACTTCGATTATATGAATATATATTTTCTCAATTCTAGGGTATGGTAGGGGTTCTGTGGTTCGTGTGTCATTTCTGGAGTCGACCAGATTTTAGTGTGCTGTCATGTGTCAGGTACTGACGACACAGTGGGAAATTAAAGATTCGACAATGAATTAATTGGAAGAGTATAGGGTCTGGTGAGGGGAGGGAGATGTGGTAATGCTCACTGAAGTGATGTAATAAAGATGTGCAAAGTGTTCCTGGATCACAAAGGAAGAAGCATGTACCCTCCCTGGTGAGAGGAGGTGATAAAGGGTGGTTTTGCAAAGATGGTAGCTATGAGCTGGGTTTTGAAGGGTGATTAGGAGTTTACAGGCAAACAGGAAGGGTACTTGAGGAGAGGGACGGCTGCCAGAGAGAAGAGCATTGGAGCTGAGGGAGTGAGGTTCAGTGCTTGAAGGGAGTAGGTCCTGGAAGGCCAGAAGTTTGTAGCTGATCCTGTTTCTCAGAGTGTATTCTGTGGCGATCCGAGCCCCATGAGATTCTCTGGGGGGAAACGTTTAGAGATTCACGTGGACATTACAACATTAGACGCTAAGAAATGCTCGGTAATGAAACCTGCTTCCTGTTTATATACCAGAGAAAATGTTTTGGGAAGCGCTACTGTTAGGCAGTGGGGAGCTCCTGAGTATTTTAAGCAAGGGGAGAACTTTACTTGATTTATGTTCAGAAAATGAAATGGCAGTGGTGGAGGGTTAGGGTGGAGCGAGGGGAGATTAGTGGCATGGAAACTAGTTCAGAACTATTATCACTTTTGGTTACATATAACGTGACCATCAATATAAAGATGTTTA